ATAAATTTTTCTAACTTTAATTCGTTAAACGTAATACGAATTTTTAATTACTAAATTCGGTATAGTAAGGGTTTTTTATATTTAAAAATCTGTCCGACACTGAAAATTGGTTGTATTATAAAATTCGTTATATCAAAATTCGTTATAGAAAGAGTTGACTGTATATTGTTCATAACCACAAAAAAAATAAGCTAATTCTTTCTTATTTAGTTTTGAGAATCTTGATAATAAATAAACCCCTTCGCTTATTCTTATTTAAAAAGATAAAGCATTTTTACACCAAGACAAATATTTAGACTATGTCACATATAAATACATATTTTTAATTTCTTCATGTCTATTTTTGAAATTCACTTATTGTATCGAAAAATGAAAAAAATTATATATCAAAATTCAAGATTTTAGCAAAAATTGAACTTATCTAAAAATTTTTTTGACTATTCTGATCTGCATGCAACCTTTTTTTTCAAATTTGAATTACAAAAGAAAAATAAGTTTTTTGCACGTGAAGGAAAACAGTCATGTTGATTGATATATAACAATATGCAGCATTTTTGTTATATATGATATCCTTTCAGAATAAAATTTCTTTCAACTAAATAAAGATTATTTTACTTTTGTCTTTCATTAAAGATTTTCTAATAAAATGCACTATATATTATTTAAAATTTTATAATTATTATTTATAATTAATATTTAAAATTATTTCTTAAAAATTTGTAATTAATTATATTTCAAGTTATAACTAATTATAACTTATATTTTAAATTATAACACATGTTATAATTATTAAAGAATTTATATAATATTATAATATAATATTATAACGTTAAATGTTACAATATTTTAATTATGGTATTCATCTTTAACAGAAACAAAATCTAAATACTGAAAATGTGTGAAATTTTGGTGATTCACTTAAGCAAATTATATATAGAAAAGAAAAAAAAAAAGTTATATTTGAATGGATCACCAATCCATCTCATTCTAAAAATGTTGTAAAAGCAGGATTGATAAAATAATACATTATGTTAGAATTACTGATTTGGCATTTCGTGTCTCATCTTTAACAATCAAAATGATCATAGATAAGATTATAAGAATGACATAATATCAGTATTTCATGTCTCACCAGTAATCAAAAAGTAAGTGAATGGATTGCAACACATTTTTAACAAATAGATGAATTGCAAATTTAACACTTTATGCCTCATCTAGCAATGAAGAAATGGCAATCAAGAAGGGGCTCTGATCCTCTAACCAATTGACTACCAAATCAGGCCTTTAAAAGTTATTTAAAAGTTACTTAAAAGTGACAGAAAAGTATCTGGAACTAGCAAGAAACTAAAACATGTAATTACTGCAGTAGGACGCAGTAAATTTCATTAATTTCAGCCAGCACTATTCCATATTTTTTTTCAAAATTTTGAGATGCAATAACTTGGCATCTAGGCACCCGATCTATACAATCTTAATATTATTGAAAAGCTCTTAACATCTTCATCTAAACGAGCTTAAAATTGCATAAATTTAATCATAAATTTTAGCCAAAGCCTTCCGACCAAAATACATATTTTTTTCCTGACCACAACATGATTTTTAATAATAAATATTAGCCTAGCATCTTGGTCACAAAAGATTGTAGAGTAATAAAATAAGTGAATAGCTAAAAGGAAATAAAAAGAGAATAGAGCAATAAAATCAAACAAATATCTACAAAGTAATAAAAAGGCTATAGAGTAATAAAAACAAGTGGATATCAATAAAACAATAAAATGGCTACAGAACAATAAAAACAGTAACTAGGTAATATTATATTCATAACTAGATAACATTATAGTGCAACTGAATAACACTCTTATAAGAGTGTTATCTAGTTGAAAACATTTTGAAATAAATAGTTATATATTATTATGAGTATAATTAGAATTCTTAGTATTAAAAGAATCAGGTGAATTTTGTTTGATCAGATAAATCATGTAAATTTTTAATATTTTTCTGATTTACCTGGTATAGTAATTGTAGATTATTACTGCACATTATCATCTGATAGTTTTCACGTAATATTTTCTGTATCTGTAATGATATTTATTTTTAACACTGACAATATATTATAACATCTTACGCATTTTTTATTTAGAGCTGTTTAAGTTTTTGATCCATGATATTTATTTTTAACAACTGCTAATCAAGATATCTATTCCTATTAAATTGAGATGCAATTTCAAGTATCAAACTAATTTTGTAAGGTTTTGACTATTTTTCCAATACTTTCAGATATCCAAATACCTTATGAAAAAGCTTATCAATAACCTTATAATTTGCAAGAAATACAGTTTACAAATGTTTAAGAATGAGAATTAGTTAATCCATTGGTATACCTTATTCAGGAATGGTCAATTTATGTTAATATCAATTTAAATCTTATTGAATTTTCTGAACTAGACGAATTTTGAGATAAAGTTACATTATAATTTCCACTTTTAGAAAAAATAGCATGTAATTATATATGGTTACCAATCTCTTCTTATGCGGTAGAAAGGAGTTTTTCCGCGTATAATAAAATTTTAGATGATGATAGGCAAAATTTAAGTCCGGAATTCTTAAATATCTTACTATGATGTATTTTAATAATCAAAATAGTAATAAATTTTTATCGATTTGATATCGGAATTTTTCCGGGTGTTGTCTGTCCCCACGTGATCTATCAAATATACGGTTGATCAAATTATTCAACTATTTGAACGCTTCGGACGCTTCAACGGTTCCCGTTACCTTGTTTTTATAATTGGGGTGCTAAATTCGATAACATACTGTTTTTTTAATTTAAACCCCGAACTTTTTTGTGATGGCGCAGTATTCACAAAATAACTTTATGACGCGTCTTTCGTATAAATTCGTAAACAATTGATTTAGCCGTTTTTAAGTATGGAACATTCTGATAACATTATTAATGAAATTGTCGCGTTGAAGAACAAATTCAATTCAGATGAGCAAACTGCAATCCTCAAAGAAATTGCTCAAAATGTTCGTAAGTTTGAAGAAATTACTAATCAAAAAAGCGAAAAACTTAGGAATGAATTAAGGAGTATGTCTTGAGTATCTTTTTTCTTTATTACTTCATATTTTATAATTTACTTATGGAATTTTTATAATTTCTTTAGCGTTGAATAGAAAATTAACGACCATTCAAGCCAGTACAAAGAAAACAATTGAACAAAATGAGGCTGGCTTTAACGACCTTATGGTCAAATATGAACGTGAAAAATTTGATTTGGATGAATCAATCACTCAATTAGACGCGGAAGAAAAATATCCTTTGTTTATGAAAACCTTTGCTTTATTATTATTTTTAATAAATATGCCTTAACATGAGAATTTTGAATACGGACCTTGAAGAGGAATACTATTCTTTATATAGGGAACTAGAGGAATTAGAAAATATGAATATCGAAGACGAGACATTACCAAAAGATGATATTACTTCGTGAGCGAATCGTTCTTTAATTAACCATTATCTATTAAAATTTCGTAATTGATCAAATTTCTATTTTTCTCTTTAAAAAAAAAAATAAGGCTTCAACTTCATGTATATCGCAAATTGGGCATTCAGTTTATTGAAGACGAGGAAACTCACGAATTAAAGGCAAGGATAGGTAAAAAAAATTTTTTTTAAAAAAAAAAATAAGAAGCAACTTTATGCTTCACTCTACAAATTTTAATATATATTTATCCCCTTCATTAGAATCTCCTGATAATAACGACATTCATACTTTAGTTATCGACGATAGGCATTCACAGTATTTCATGACCAATCATTTGTGGGAATTATCCACTGGTTCATAATAAATGTAAAATTGTTCATGTTTATGTTATAGAAATCTGAACTTTTATTTATCAGCTTATGAATATATTTTGAAATTTTTAAATATGACGCGTCTTAATTCTTGATATTGGCTTTGTAGAAATTAATCAAGCCATTAGTACTGGAATCATGAGAAGAAATGGGTGCTGCATCTTGACTTGTTAATTCTGGCAAAATTTTCTTGGCAAGAACTTTACCAAGTTCCACACCTAAATATTATTTCAAATAACCAAAAAAAAAAAAAAAATTTAATACTTGTATAATTACAAGAAAAATACCTTTGTTTATTTGTAGAAAATATTGACATACCCCATTGATCAAATGAGTTAATGTTCCAAATGATACCTTGAACAAAAATTTTATGTTCGTAAAGAGCAATGAGGGCACCCAAGGTACCAGGTGTTAGTTTTTGAAACATAATACTATTTGTTGGTCGATTGCCACGAAAAACTTTATGTGAAGCTATCAATTCTTTGTTGGACACATTTCCTAATTCCTCTAGGACTTGCTCTTTGGTCTTACCAATCATAAGAGCTTCAGTCTGAGCAAAGAAATTTGAAAGTAAGATTTTGTGATGCAGACCATTTGATATAGGATTATGCGTTTCAACTGGCGCCAAAAAGTCTGCAGGAATTATTTTTGTGCCTTGATGTATTAATTGATAAAATGCATGTTGTCCATTTGTTCCTGGTTCACCCCAAATAATAGGACCTGTTGAATAATCAACAACTTTTCCTGTACGAGAGACATATTTTCCATTGGATTCCATATCACCCTAAAGAAATTGACAAAAGAAATTATTAATAAAAAAAAGTTGAAATCCTTTATTATAGTTGCGTTAAGCAGACCTGTTGGAAATAAGCAGGGAAACGATGAAGGTATTGATCGTATGGTAAAATAGCATGTGTTTGACATCCAAAGAAGTTATTATACCAAATACCAAGAACTCCTAAAATCACAGGCAAATTTTGCTCCAATGGAGAGTTTCTGAAATGAAGGTCCATATCGTGTGCGCCAGAAAGAAGTTCGTAAAAATTATCAAAGCCAAGGTATATGGCAATGGAAAGACCGATAGCTTTAGTAATAAGTTAATTAATTCATATCAAATTATTATTCGAATTAATTTTATTTTATTTTATTTTTTTCATTAAACCGACATATAATTAATTTAGTTCATACCTGACCACAAAGAATAACGTCCACCAACCCAATCCCAGAATTTGAACATATTTGCAGGATCAATTCCGAAAGATGTAACTGCGCTAGTGTTTGTTGAAAGTGCAACGAAATGTTTTGCGACATGTTTATTCTAAAGAAAATGATCAAATATAGAATGTAAATTTATTCATATTTTATAGCAAGATAAATACAAAATTTAAATACATCTTTAGCTTTAGCAAGGAACCAATCTCTTGCTGATGTAGCGTTGGTAATAGTTTCTTGTGTTGTAAAAGTCTTAGAAGCAATAATGAACAAGGAAGTCTCTGGATCCAATTTCTTTAAAGTTTCTGCTAAATGTGTTCCATCGATATTCGAAACATAATGCACATTCAATCCTGGTTTCGCGTATGGTTTTAAAGCTTCAGTAACCATCACGGGACCAAGATCAGATCCACCAATTCCAATATTTACAATATCGACGATAGGTTTTCCGGTGTAACCGGTCCACGAACCATCTCGAATCGCATTGGAGGTTCTTTTCATTTGCTCCAAAACTTCATTAACACCCGGCATAACATTTTCACCATTATCAAGAATTGGAGTGTTTGAAACATTTCTCAAGGCGACATGTAATACAGCCCGATCTTCAGTGAAATTGATATGTTCACCATTGAACAATTTTTCTCTGAAACCTTCAACATCAGCTTCACGTGCTAATTCGATTAGGGCAGCGAATGTATCATTTGTGATAATATTTTTCGAAAAATCGAGCAAAATTGAAGCACTAGTGCGTTCACTCTTAAATTGACGAGAAAAAGTACTGAACCGGTTTGTATCTTGGGCGAAAAGGTCTTTTAAAATAATGTTTTTGCCTTCATTGTCGTAAAGACTTTGAAGTTTTTGCCATGCTTTGAGTTCATTTGCTAAAACCATTTTTTATTTAATCGGAGAACGATCATGTTTTTTTAAAAAAAAAAAAGTTAAATTATGCGGTCATACCATTTGTCGATCCAAGCCAAAATATTGGTTTTTAGCTTAGCTAAATTTTTAATTCTTGAAATAGTATTATTTTCAATAATATTAATAAATAAGCATATTTGATAATTGAAATTTTATAATTATACATATTAAGTTGTAAAATTTTATACAAAGTTATTATTTATCAGTTTTATAAAGTCAAATTTGTTAAAACTACTATTATTATATTTTTATAAAATCATAGAGATTAAATTATATTATCTAATAATTAAAAATTAAAACTTAAATAAAAATATTATAAAATTTATTATATTTTCTTAAATTATCTTATATGGTGCTGGAAGTCTATACTAGACAATAAAAATGTAACATTTAAAAAACTTTCAAATTTTTTAAAAAAAAGAATTTAAGAAAAATAAACCAGTAATTTTAT